TTGAAAGATTCCCGAGGCCGCAAGAAACCAGCGGTCTGCGGTGTTGCCGACGAGTCCAGAGATCATACAGACCTTTTGTATTTCAGTCGTCATTGTCGTCAACGAACGACGACATTTCGCCGGCTCATCATCGTCGTCATGCATGACTCACATCTGACCGACCGAAAGTACACCGATGACTAATTCAGTCAAAAGGCAAATTAATTTCTCGTTCTGTTACCTCAGTAGCGTTGGCTTGCGTCGTCGACTGGACAGCGGGCATCGATCGTACCGCCGCCGCAACCGTATCGCGTTAGTTGGCTCTTATGGCAAAAAGCGCTGTCCCTTATTAACGCCCTAGTAGTGTTTGTACACTGCTTTGGAATAACGTAATTAGGTGTGTGCGCGCGCGTGTCATTTCCTCCAACGATCATCATTCGTCGTCGTCCTCTTGCCTTGTCGCACACGTCAGCGATGAATAATGTGTCGCGATGGAAAGAAACGACTCATTTTCCTTCGGTCGTCTCTGTTGTGCCCTCCCTTGCACAACATCAAGTGGTGCCGTCTTCCGCATATCACAGACTGTTCTCCGTTGCATCGCTAGTTTGTGTGAAGTAGTACTTACTGTGTAGCTGTCGTAGTTTTTATGTAAGCGATCGTCACCCCGTAGTGGTACAGCATTTGGTAGCCGTTCTTCAGGTTGATTGGCCTTCGGCACACTACCTTTATGCGTTAAAGGTTCTTGTTTTCCATTTGACTCATTTTTTTATTCATTCGTTCTCAAAATCTGCTGTTTCTCATCTTTCCAGTGGTCCCGTTTCGCCGTCAAACGACAAGCTTTCCGGTGTGAATTCCAAGCATGACATTACTGAGTCTTGTGTGCATTCGATCTATTTAATTTACATTTTGCTCTTCTGTTCGAGTACAGCGTTTCGCTCCCAGTTAGATTTTGTTAGCCGCACGAGTAGCTCAGCACAATCAAGCCGCGATATTCCGTTACGGAAAGCAGTCAGCGGCTATACACCACGAGACTCGGAGATGACGAGGTATGTACTGTTCAACCGCCGTTCTTAGTACTTCGTTAAAAGTAAACGTCGATATGCAGTGCGCTAGTAGCGTCTTGAACCGACTTCATATTGTTTTCGTCCAAGTTTCGAGTTTCAGTGCCTCTTCCTACAATTCTCAGCCCAAATATTCGATCATTTAAAATCGCACTGCAGTCAGTTGCGATACTGCTATTTATGTATGTATTTCTTGCGCTGTTACCCATATGGATCGGTTTTGCCCAACGGGTTCCTCACCAGT